ATGCTCGGACTCAGGGCATGGCCAGGGTCGCCCTGCGTGGGTCGGCTCCCAGCAGTGGCAGCGGGGGCCTCCGGATGCCTTCCCCGCCAATGCAGGCTTTCCTCGGCAGTAGACCGGGCCTACTGGGGGAAGCCATCCCCTGGTAGGCCTGGTCCACTCTGGGAAAGCCTGCGTCGGCAGGGGAGCTCCGAGAGGCCTCTGGCAGCAGCGCTGAAGCCCTCGGAGTCCTGCGATGGCGGCGGCGTCAGAGCTCCAAGAGGCCTCTGGCAGCAGCGCCAAAGCCCTCTGAGTCTTCTGGCAGCGGTGATGACGGCGGCGGGGGAACCTGGAAGGCTTCGAAAAGGTACGGTTAATTTTTTTTACATTTATTTTAATTTTGTGTGTCGGTGGTGTTTCTTGGGCGGGTTACGAATTAATTGGTTTTCAATGCATTCCTATGGGGAATGCATTTTCGACTTGAGGACTTTTCGACCTACGGACCCAGTTCCAATACGGATTAATTCCATAGGTCGAGACCCCACTGTAATATTATTGTAACCTACCAATTTAGTAAATACATATTTAAAGCAATCAACATGAGATTACTATATGATCATCAGAGCTTGGAGTACAGTCAATATGTTATCAGTTCTATAGAGGCACACTGCCACAACATAAACACTATTGCAATGTCAGAAGTAGAGAAGTGACCATTTTACCTTCCGTATAGACACTCTGCAGATGCAGGGATCCAAAACTCCTGTAGTGGCACTTGCACTCATTTTACACATAAATAAGAACTTCTTTTTCCAGTGAACACAGTTTGCTTGTACCACCTCCCTGTAAATGTAAGAAATATTAAATAGTAACAAGATAAATTGGCAATTTTCCTCAAAGCAAAGAATGCAGAATAAGGAAAGCCATATCACAAAGTGCCTAAGTCACCGTTCCTAGTCTCTTCCTTTAAAAAATCCAATAATGAATAAAATTTAAAAAATAGCTCCCTGAGATTATTTTCTACTGGCAAAATCTACTGAATCTAAGTTTTGCAGCATATCTATTAATGGCAGGAGAGACTGAGTATGCCCATGTTCTGAAAAATGAGTGTTGTCCCCTAAGAATAATGTTTGCCTATTCCGAGCTAATGCTAAAACATAGCTGGTTTGACAAGAGAATCAGACAGGACCTTTTAAAGGAAGGACGCGGGGGCAACTGCCCCAGGCCTGACATATGGGGGGGCTGCCAAACGGACGGGGGCATATCAACATTACCACTGCTGCACTGTTGCCAGCTTTTTTTCCTTCCAGAACTTGAAGCAATCTTTAACTTGAGGCAACCCCAGGGAAAAAAAGTAACAACAATATTAAGCTATAAAGACTGTGGTAATGTCTTTTTGTCATGCTGCCATGAGGCCATGGAGTCCTAGTCTGATCATAGTTGATATTATTATATACATTCTGACTTTTTTCTTTCAAGGAACCTAAGACTGGACCATTTATTCCAAACTCATAGTACACTGGAAAAGGAAGCAGAAGCATTAGTGCAAATTTACTGAACTAATCTGCAAATTTCTCTGTCTTCCTAATTGATTTTTAAAATTCATTTACTAAATACTGCACAATAAGGAAGGAGGAGAGGATGAAGAAATTACAAGGGGTATATGGAAGTCCAGGGAGGATTTATTAGGAAAGGGCTGCTGGGATTGCACAAATAGGGTGAACAGCTGCGGCAAAGGAAGCAAAAACAGGGCGGTGCTGAATTAATGAGCCTGATGGCAAAGAGCAGCGTGTTACTCTGTCCAAAGAACAGCCAGGCTGGTGGCAAGCAAAGGCAGGCATTTGAGCAATGCACTTTTTCCCTTTCTGTTCCTGCTGCTTCCTTCACTGCAGCAGGAAGAAAGAGGCAGCACTGAAGCACCTCTAATGTCTCCAGACAAAGGGGAAAATTGCATATTGTAGTTTTTAGACAATTTACCGCAGAGACCTGGTGGGAATTTTACCAAGTATCACTGTAGCTCTCTGCCTTTATCTAACTGGCAGTTTTGAACTGTAAAGAAGAAACACAATTCTCCTTTCAGCATACATTAAAAGTAAGTTAAATTCAAGATAGTCATAATTATTTATTCTACACAAATAAAAAGATCTTTTGGCAGAAATGTATTTTGATAATCTCATCTCATATTTTCCTGAAGAAAAATAGGAAAAACCAGGTAGCTTTTAAAATATTCTTTTGCATCATCCATAAAATCTGGTATCAGATAAGCCTATTTTTGAAAGTATTATATTTCCCCAGCCAAGGGGGAAATGTCACTGACGCAAGATGCTGAGAAAGAGGTGGCAGGGAGGGATCACAAATGAGCCTTCTATGCTGTGCCTCTCAGTGTCTTAAAAACACCATGGAATGAAACTTGGACTTAGTCTTCCCTTCATACTTATCTATTAATCCGTTCTTATTCTGATATTAACAAACCATATGTTATGTTTTGTCTGAATAGAAAAGCTACGGCTTGTGCCTTGTGAGGTTCACAAGGTATGATTTCAGCCATAGTATGAAGGACTAAAATAAAGAATTACAGGCAGAACTGCTTATATTACTATCTCCTCCAAAATGCAGAGCAAAGCATATCTGTCTTCTTTAATACCAGGATGTTACTGGTTAAATATTTATTAAGTTATCTTAACACCACTGCTTTAAGCTGTGTGTAAGAAAAAAAGAATTCTGCACAATTCTTTTGAGATGCAATGGCTATACACTTGGTGCTTGCTCATGTGTCAGGTAAGAGTTGTCAAAAAAAGTAGGTCGATTCTTGGTATGTTCAAATGCCTATCATCACACTTTATCTGTGATGGTCTCTTTGGTTATAGCATAAGTAGTCGTTGTTGTTTAGTCGTTCAATTATGTCCAACTCTTCGTGACCCCATGGACCAGAGCACACCAGGCCCTCCTGTCTTCCACTGCCTCCCGGAGTTGGGTCAGATTCATGTTGGTCGCTTTGATGACGCTGTCCAACCATCTCATCCTCTGTTGTCCCCTTCTCCTCTTTCCTTCACACTTTCCTAACATCAGGGGCTTTTCTAGGGAGATTTCTCTTCTTATGAAATGGCCAAAGGATTGAAGCCTCAGCTTCAGGATCTGTCCTTCCAGTGAGCACTCAGGGTTGATTTACAGTATAAGTACCAGGCGGCAAATCTGACTGGAGCATAAGGTGCTTAAAACTTCCTGCACAAGTTCCTTTTCTGTTCCTGTCATCCACTGGGCAAGACTAGAACTTAAACAAGGTGATATCTACTCTATATGTAACAGATATTGCTATTAGTAACAGCTGTATTTAACCTTCAAGTCCGAAGAAAATGAAAAAAGAGGAAGAGGAGGAGAGGGGAAAGCTATTCACTGAAGCTCAGGTTTAGCTTTCAAAACAACTAAAAAAAGTGAAAGCAAAACCATTGGCACCACAAAATATTGTAGAGCCAAAAGTAGTAAAAGATTTTATTACAGGGATTTTAATGTGATATCCTGACTTTTTTTGTTTTTAATATAAACTATCCTTAATATTTTAACTGAACTATTTTAATAATAGATTTAATTATATTTTAATATATTGTGCTTTTGTGATACTGCCTAGTACCCTGTTGCCAAATCACTTCTGATTTGACAAGATCCCATTGTGAGATCAGCCATGTAACTGGTCACTCAAATGGAAGCTTGCCAAAGCAGAAGGGACACCTACACAATTTCTGTTTTCCTCTATGATTTGATGCAAGGATACTAGCCATTTTTTAAAACCACACTGCAAGCTGCCTTGGGTCCCAGGCTTGAAGAAAGGAAGCATAATGAATACATAAACAAACAAACAAACAAACTACTATTTATTCTCATTACTGGTGATCTTATAAGAATAATGATAATGATTCCTAAAAATTTTAGACTACATTTGTCACAATACATAATCACTAGCAGTGGCAGCCAATTATTGTGCCCTCACAAATGTGCAAGTAGGATAGACTTTTTAATTGGCACCCAGACTATGGCATCCCTTACATTAAGAGGTCTGCCTGGCCTGCTCTATAAGCTCTTCAGTAAAAAACACCACCACCTTTAATGCTTTTTTTAAAAGAAAAAAATTGGGTTGTCTTACATTTTTGGCTATTCAGTTGTGAATTATCTTTCCAACTTTCTCTAGCTTTGGGGGCTCTTGTTCTGTTTATTTTCACACTATTATACACTATTTTATTTGATGACACTGAGGCGCTTTGGAGGGACTTTAGAGCCAAAAAAGCAGAATGAAAAATTAATGCCCATTTTGTCTTATTGCTGCAATACAATAATAATAATAATAATTACAAGTTGTCAAATCAATTCTGAGTTATGGCGACCCTTTCCAGGGTTTTCTAGATACAGAGTACTCAGAAGAGGTTTGCCCTTACCTTTTTTGAGGGGCTCCTTGGGACTGCACTGCAGGCCCAAGGCTACACAGAATATAGATATCTATAATTCAAGAAGACTTTCATCAATTGGTCCTTTCCTTTGGCTCCACTCTCTCTGTATTAGTCTTTAAAATTGGAACATGTCTAGAGTCTATTTTGCTACCAAGAGGCATTAAGATTGATAAAATAATAGCCGTTGTTCTAAAATAGTCCTACATAAGTTCAGTAGTATATATTTACTCTTGAATTAATTGTCTATGTCATGTTGAAGCAGTGGGGAACCTATCACCTGTCAGCTATCTTCTGCATCCTATGTTTAGAAAATAAAATGCTGTGTTCTCACACTTTCAGGTTCTATTTACACATAACAAGAAAGATAACAGATCCGAGGCATTTCACATTTCCAGCATATTATTTAACCTAAGTGCACAGGAAGAAATTAACATGTGGCGATTCTGTGACTACCACATATGTGCTGTTTGGGGACCTTTTCAGATGGAGCTTTTGCACTCTTTTCTCCCCCCGCCTCCATTCTGTTGTTTGGTTTTGAAAGAATGCAGGATTTATCTAGATTTGTATCCAAACTATTGTGTGATACTAAATTGCTTCAGTACAAAATAATCAGCTCAGACAGCTAACTTCCAGCAAAGGAAGATGGAAGAAACATGGTATGCAGCGGCAGCTTTGTCTTGTCTGAAGGTCACATTTCTAAAGTGAGAGGTAAACAGAGCAAGCAGCTATAATGTGCCACTTCCACCCTCCTCCTTCCTCTCCATCCAGCACCTGCGCAGCCAAGTATCCAGCATCTGAAGATATTGTTTCACCCTAAGTTAGCATCTCAGTGAGAACGGAAGAATAGGGCAGGCACAAATCTCAGGATTGGCTTCTCGCAAGCTCCATTTTTATTTGTGCATGGTGAGATACTCTTCCCATTTCTTTTCCCACTGCAAGTTCCATCTTTATGTCTACATGGTGAGACACTTAACCCAGTTCTTCCACCTCTGCTTTGTTCTTAAATTGGTGGCAGCTAAGTGGTCCATCATTTAGTCTTAGATCATATCTGTTTGGGAAGCACTACAGTACTAAATTTCTCTCTGTGGCATAAACCAGTTGAAAATAATAAACCAAGCATTTGGGGAGGGAAATACTGTACTGGAACTTGTGAAAACAGGTTTTTCAAAATTAAGTACAATGGACGCTGGGGGGCTTCCATTAAGTTGAGTGTTCAATGAGGAACTTAAACTCCATGTGGAAGAGCCATTAGAAGCAATGCCAACTGTTCTTTATATGCCCAACATTAGAGTAGGAACCCCTTATTGGCAGTACTGTATCACTATTCAATGATTCACTTATCCATGATCTGAAAAATATTTAAAATATTAAAAGAAAAATCTAGCTAGCTAGCTAGCTACCAGG